AAAAATCCGGAACGGCAGACAGACGGACAGACAGATGGACATGGAATTTTTTTTTTTTTTAATTTAATTTAATATTTCTTCGTCTTCTAGTGGTCATGAAATATCGAGAAAACGTAAAAGTAGAGAGTGGGCCGACGGGCTCGATTACAATACTTCCTTTGCTTACGCTCGGGAAGTAAAAATGGAAAAACTTTTTGAAATGGTACATACATCTGCGACCTCATGTCGGATTTAAAATTCTGTTGTTTAAAAACTTATAGGCAATTTCAGCACAACAAGACTAGAGAAAAGTTTTTAAGAATTTTAAATGAAAATTTAAAGTGCTACATTATACTGTAACACCATATTGTTTGTCACATAGACTTTACATAATTTCCACTGAAGTTTGAAAAAGTACCTGCATTCTACCTACTTCATATGAATCAGTGTCTACTGTTAGATACGTAATAGTCGAACCCATTGTCGAACAAACCAACTTTGCCATTTATTTGCTTTCTTTGTTGAGTCTGTTACTGTTCAAGTTCAGTAGTTGCTACATTAATTTGACATAATGGATTTTTTTAAGATTTTCAATAAACGTGTCTGAATTACGATGAGTGTCATTTACCTTAAGTATAAAATTATAAAATTCGACAACAATTGGTCCAGTAATTTCGGAGAAAATCTGTTGATAAAAAATGACATTGACGCAAACAGACGGAACCAGAAGATTAATTTTTTCATATTTTAGGGGTCATGTGACATGAGATGAACAATATTACAGTACTTTGGGAAGTAAAAATGTAGAAAAGTGAAAATATTCGTAAATTAGCAAAAAGTAGCATCTGGTCCAAATCAAATAGTATCGAATTATTTCAGTTTTTTTTTCATTGAATTCAGCTATATATTATAAGAATCATTTTAACCATATTTCTTTCATTAATTGGTTTCCAGATATGTAATACTGAAAAGCAATTTTCAATTCGAATTTAATCAATAATTTTTGTGTAACATGTTGGAAGTTTACGTTACTGTAATAGATCAACAACAAAAATATTGTAGAAATGAATTATAAGATAAGCTGCATACAAAAATCTGTCTATGAATGAACTAAGAACAAAGGAGTACATACTTCATTATTTTTTCAAAAATTTTATATCAAAAAGACAAGATAAATTATCGTAAGTTGTTTTAAATTTATTGAAATATGTTTGATCTGTAAGTAGTTTTTATTTTTAATGAAAATTTCAGATATTTGCGAATTTAACGAAGTTAGGAAGACTTGGGATAATGCCAATAGATATACGAGATATTATTTTAATAAAAAAATTAATAACTACGTTATATAGTGCAATTTTATTGCATATGTGCATAGGATATATTTAAATATAAATTTTGTTTGTACTTTCACAGTCTCTTCTTAATAAAATCCAAACATGTATACTATATATTGAAAAAAACATTGTCTAGTCAGTCATGGATTTTTTTTTCATTATGTTCGTGAAATGTGCACATCACAGGTGTTCGTTTTTGAAGTTTTTCTATGCATCGCATTAAGGACTAAGCCCAATCACCATTCTTGTTTGATTTCATTTCCAACTTTGGATAATAAAAATTGTATGTTCTGTTGTAAGCATTTTTATTATTACACTGACAATACAAATGTAAAACTGACAGGTCACTTCAATAAAAAACCACAGTATTGCTACTACAGTTTCTTTAAAAAATATTTTCATGGCTGACTAGACAACTTTTTTTCGATCATTTCATATCTAATGATAATAATGAATGTATTAGTGGTAATAAAAAACGTATTCTGACATATTTTAAATAAATCTTTTATAGGATATTACCAAAATTTTGGCTAACAGTTTTTTTATAAGGGCAAGATTTTCATCACACTGATTTTAATTACTGTTTGAGATGTTAATTTACTTGTTATAACAAAATTTTATTATTACTGAATAAATTGCATTATAAACCGCTTTGTAAAATTTGTATGATTCAAACTTAACACGTATATATATTTATTGCATTGAGATAGAAATTTAGTAAATACATGTATAACTAATTAGGTACCCTATATAACAAAATCATAATTGTCTCGGCACAAGCCTTGTACAAAGTTACAAATTAATAAAAACATTCTCCTACAAGTCGGATCTTATAATACTTTTACAGAAAGCAACATTTGCTAAATAGTACTTCCATAAATTACGAACTGTTGTTATCTTCTTTACGAGGATATAGTTCTAAAGTTAGATAAAAAGCATCATAAAACGTCAGTTATTATTACCGGTAAACCGCAGCTGTGAAATCTTACAAACGCATAATATTAGCCCAAAATCGTTTTTTAAAGATAACCGTTTCACTGAAAGCTTTATTCAATTTTAAAATAATGGGGACGGAACTCCTCCCTGTAAATTGTGTCACCAGACAATCGAAAACACAAAACCTCAAAATTCTGTGTAAAAAAATAATCTGTGTGTAAAAATAACATCAACCCTCGTAATCCAAACTCTTGAAGCTGCATTAAACTGACAGTTAATTCGTCGACCTGATACGAGGTCACCAGATTTACTAAAAATTTCGTTGATACAAGTTGTTTCATGAATAAAATTTGGAAGTGTCATGAGAAAAAAAATTGAACTCGTATAGGTACAAATTATTGTAATGAGGCAATACAGTTATTGTAAAGACTTTATATCTAGCACTCATCGTTCTGATAATGATTTCTTCAAGTGGTAAATAAATACGTTGAAAATTTACGAAAATTTTATGTTTAGTAATTTAATTTAATTTATTTATTTTACTATGTATAGACAGCTATGTATCCCTGAAAGTCTATTATTGGTTTCCTCTTCAAGAAATAAAAAGAAATTCATATAATCAATGAGAGAGAACTTTTTGTGAATACAGTTCGTTTGCAATGTTCTTATAAATATGGCAAACATCTTTCTGTTTTTAAGTAAGTAATTTTTAAATCTAGGTTGTCTGTGTTATACTTAATAATTTAAGTTTATTTTAGAATAAAAATGTTGCAACGAGAAACTGGAAAAAATTAAAAAAAAAACCTGAAGATGGTCAGGACTTTACATATTAACAATTTTTTGACACTAGAAATGTCTGTAAATTTAAACAGTGAATGAAAATAAAAAGTAACAGAATTAAAAACAACACAGGTTTGTTGCTAAAGTTGTATATTTATTTTACTTTAATTATGACCCTTTTGCAAAAAAGAACATCTTAGATGTACGCTACCGGAGCAGCATAAACACCGGCAGAATAAACAGCAGGGGACACAACTGAAGAATATACTCCTGGACTCACCACTGATGTGATGAGGGGAGATGGAGCCGCTGCAGCAATAGCGAAAACAGCTGCCACTAGTACAAGAATCTAAAATTTTACAAATTAACATAAGCTAAAAGAACATACAGAGTGTGAACTCTATTTTTTCTCACTATATATAAGTTTGGAAATCATACAAAGTTGATTAAATTTAAAAAAGTTGCGCTATTTTTGGATGTTCAGTAATACATCAGGTAAAACAAGTTAGACCACATAGGAGATAATATATCATTATTAGTTTACTTTTTAACTGTTTTATTTTTAATAGATCATTTTAAAAATTTTGATCATATTGTGCTAGTATCTACCAACTACAAAATTCAAAACTATTGTAAAGCAAAAATAAGAAACATTTTAAAAATCTACAAATTATTGTTATTATTTTACTGATGCGCTGTAACTCAAAATAGTGCACTTTTATCTGATTTAACCTACTTTACATTAACGCACAGTTTTCAGAATCCTAGCAGTGAGAAAAAATAAATTCACCACTCTCTAAAATAAAAAATAAACACTTACGAATTTGAACATTTTGAATCAATTGATTATTTACAGCAATCAAATAATGAAATTTGAGACCTAGGCTCGACTTTTATACTTATTTTATCTTTTATCTGGGTGGAGTCAACTTGTTTAAAGCGATGAGGTTGACACAATAGAAGCAAAAACAAGCTTGTATGACTAAGTGCGTGGCTACCTAGGTAAATACCTGGAAATGATTTAAATATCCGTGTTGAAAATTAGCATACAACTTTTTCAAGCGTTATTTAATATGAATTACTCGTTCACATATTAACAATAATATTTTAATTATTTATAAATAAGTGAAACAAGTCATGTAACAAATATCCATTTTTTTTGTACCAGCTGAACCAAAATGGGAAAGTTTGAACATACGAAAACCGCTACAATGTTTACAATTCAGTATTTGGAAATTTTCAAAGCTATAATTCCAAAAATATTGTGTTTTAAACTTTTCTTGTGTTCTAACGAAGCCATTACAAAAATAATAAAACAGCGTAATTATAAATCGGCACTCAAAATGGTAATACATAATAAAAAATTCTGCGGTCTACTAAATATATTAATATGCCAATTTCAAACACTTTTTTGACATGCAATCATACGATTATAATTTTTAACGTTGAGTCATTATCATTAATTTAACTTTCGAAATCTCTTCTGTCGAACAATAATAATTTTCACTCCTTGTTTTCATTACCTCATTGTTTAGTATTAATTCGTCATAAAACTGTGGTAGTAAATCAAGTTCTTTTAGTAAATCATACACATTCTTGTAAAATGGAAGTTACCGCAATTATGCGTATCCTCTTCAAAAAGTTGATGCAATAATAATGTTGTCGTGAGAGCGGATATAACGTACTCCAGTAATAAGACTTCTTCATTTTTACTATTTTATAAAAAAAAGAGTTTCTAGTAATTCTTACATATAATTTAATTTATAAGTGATTTGTAGTAAAGTAGTTGATTTACAGGAATTTAACCCTCTCGCACCCTATTGGCATTTTTTCAAGTCACAACGTTGTCGAAACAACATCAAGTTTTTATTCAGTACCACCGCATACATAATTAATTATACCAATATCGTAATTTGCATTACAATTAGGTCACACCTCAAATCACCGTTTTTTTAAACAAATTTTGTGTATAAAAGATGTTGCAAATGGTCTGAAGTGTATTGTTTGTTTAGCAACAAGATCAAACTCACTCACAATGTTCAAGCTGGTAAATATATATAAATTAATAGTTATAACAAAGCTAACACTGTAATTTTAATTTCAGGTTCTTGTAGTACTTGCCGCACTGATGGCCCTTGCCATTGCTGCCCCAGGTCCAAACCCCCAAATTTATTCACCAGTAGTTTCTTCGGTTTACCCTGGTGCTGGTTATGTTGCGTCCTACCCCTATGGAGCTGCTGTCACTTATTACTAATGTGGACCCTGTTGTGTTTCGAAGATCCGTTGATGTAAAAAATACAAAAAAATAAAATAAACTCTATTAATAATCGTCAGTTTAATGACTTAATGAACTCCTATTTCATGTTTCCATTACCTGGATATACAACATGGCGACATTAATTACAATTAGATCAAACTCTGTACAAAATAATCAATACATAGGTAAATCGAAGAGAATTCACGTGATCTAACCTGCAGTGAAGTCTTGTGAAGTGAAGACATGGGTTTTGTATTGTTTGCTAATTTTACAGAAACGGTACCTTTGGGTTTTTCGAGTCCATTTTTAGAAATTCAATTTTCAGATGATTATTAAGCATATTGCTTTTTTTTTCTCAAAATGTTGACTTCTTCTGTGGACTATTTAAACATTAGATTACGTTATGAAAGCCACACTAGTGACTTGTTTACATTTGGTCTGTAGTGCACTTCTCCACCCATGAGAGAAAACGGATTAACAATTGCTCGTAAAATGCGAATATTCTGATCAAGCGCAAGGCTGTATCTGTATTTCTAGTGAGTTTTCCCATTTGAAAATGTTTCGATCGACATTTCAGCAAAGACACATGAAAATTTTGAAAAGATAAGTTGTACAATTGTTGAATATATGGAAAGTTTATACCTATAACAATATTTGCTAGAGATAAATAGACCTATTAATTTTGATGTATGCAGAATTTACAGGATCATTACATTGGTGAAATATTATAGTTCTGTAAACATTGTTTATAGTCTTAAAATAATTGTCACCAACAGAAAATATACCTGCATAATTATGCAGGTTAACCAAAACAGTAACCATAGACAGTTTGTCAAAATAAAAAAATTAAATGCGATACTCTTATGTTCATAAAATTTTCCAAAAAAAACTGTTTTTGTTGGAATGCATACCCCTAGATAGAGTAGTTCCAAATACTACATGTTTTGCAATTCCCAGCAGTAATACTTATTTTATACTGTCTATGTACCGCATTCAACTTCAGTTTTCAAGCTAAAAACAAGGGTGTTTAGTTAGTTTAGTTTTCCAGCCATGTTTCTTTTTTAGGATTTTTACTCATCATAAACACTGTCTGTTAATGAATTTAATTCTCATTATAATCAAAAGTACAAGCAAATGCTCCTGTTTTATGCCATGATCATCAGTTTATGATATAAAAAAAATAATAATAAAGAGAAATAATATTCTCCTAAAACAAATAAAGCAAGTTGTACAGACCGCTATACAAACTAACTTGCTCTTGCTGCAGTGAATACGAGTTTAGAGTAAAATTCCACGACAAACATAAGAAATTTTACACTAACTTAGAAACTGAATACTGGTTATATTTCAATTATTGTCGAGTATTATTTTACAACTGAATGAATAAAAAACCACGCTCACTTATTTTGCAATATATAATTTCTTTACATTGTAAACATAATTAGGAATTTTCTTACATTATCTATTTTTGGAGCAGTCAGCAGAACACCTCAAGGTAATATTTAAAATAATTTACAAAACTCGTAACAGATCTACTTTGAGAAAATTTGTAGGATCATCTAAACCATTTTTTATTATCTAATAAGCAAATATATTGTAAAAAATCCAGAAGTACCTAGAAAAAGAATAATGGTAATATTTGAAAATATATATATATCACTGAAAAAAAAGTCTGGTAGTTGGTGGTGAAGAACTGATTATTTTGCATTTAGGATAGTGCAAAGATCTTAACATATTGTTTATGTAATAGCTTTAGAACATATGAAAGCTTTTTATTTATTTTAATATTTACGGTTCTATACTTACAGTCTTGTAAGGTTTTGTTTAAAACACGACTGACACTGGAAAAATGCTTTAGAGTCAGTTTACAGAATCACTTAGTCACGCCATTAATTTAATCACGCAATAATTAATCGATCGTGTAATCAACTTCAACTAATCCAATACGTAGATTTACGCTTTAATCGCACATTAAATCTTAATTTGAATTGAAATTTAATACGCGATTAATCCGAGAACCAGAGCATTTGATTGGTTGAATTTCATCACGTGGTCGATTAATTAGCTGGGAACTAGAATTGACCTGAAGAAAGAAAGTACCATTAAATCGAAAATAAAATGAATTAGAGTAGACGTTGCTTGTCAAGCGGGTAGTACTACACAGGGTGCTGCATTCAAGTTTAGACAATAGGAATGGTTTTTTACTTTATAATATCTCCCCAATCACTTTAAAGCTATTATTGAGTGATGCACTTGTGGAAGTAAAGGAGTGCTATCGGTCAGTATTTTTTTATTCCTCGATTCTCATTCGAAAATCGCTGATCAACTCAAATTGAATTATAAATGTGTTGATTACTGTAGGACAAATTAAATGGAATAAATGCACAAATTGGTCCAATTGTGGGTACTGGGTGCAGCACAAGAATCCTTCCACGAAATTCCTGGTCGTATTGCGCAACCGCGTCACACGAGCTATTTCTAACTACACCCACGCCGTATTCAATAAGCCCTTCGAGCAGCTCGTCTTCCTCAACAACTCCATCGGCAGACAAACCCTGGAGGCCTGTCGAGCTAGGGAATTACTTGCGTTATCTCACTCAAAAATCACTGAACAATTCAAATTTTATAATTTTATCCAGTGTGATGATTATTTAGGACAAATTAAACGGAATAAGTGCACAGTTTACAAAAATATATATTTTATGAGGTTAGTGCCGGTCGATCTTAGTGACTTTTTATTAATAAAATCTCATTTAAAATGCTATGTTCTACTATGATTAGATGAAAAAGCGAAGGCCTGTTTATTGTTCAATGGTTAATTGGAGCAGCCTGTATATAGATATGCACGTCATCGATTTCTCTTTTTGCTCAAAACTTCAGAGAAGAGGTTCCAAAGTGTTCTTATAAAAAATAGAATTAAAATTTAACTCAGTTAATTTATTTAAGAATGTTTTGCTTCTCAATTGTTTTCTTGTGTCTTTTTTATAATATTACTTTAGGAATTCATCCCGGTTTTTTCCATATATGCATATAGAATTAGATTTAAATTTTAATTGTCGGTTTGTATTTATATACTGACTTACTTCATAGATAAATGAATAAATATTATACAGACTGACAACGTTCTATTTAACAAACTACGGATGAGAGATAACAACTGAGATTTGCGCTAACGTTGCCCGAATGTGCCAGATGCAGGATTAGCGGAAGAAGTTGCTCTTTGTATATGTATTCCGAGATCACGATACAGGTCAAATGTTAACATTTATATCCTGACGGTATATATTAAAAATTTCACCTTAAACCAGCGCACAGCTTTGTCAGCTTACACAGGATTTTTGTTTTTGAAATTGTTTTACATTTCTCTGTAACTGTGCATCCATATACGGCCGCAAATATACATACAGTTTTGATAATATAAAGACTAAAATGTGTTGTATGAAAGATAAATACATATTTATTAAAATTATTGCGGTTTTCTCCACGTGAGCGTGCCGCCCCTGTTGGCGAATATTCGTTCGCTTCTGCCGAGAATCGACGTCACTCTCACAACGGCCCGGCCACCACCGCACAATCGATTGCCCCACCCTTGTATGTTATAGACCCTTTTTTTGATCTTTTCCCACGCACACGAGCGATCCACGATGATAAACTTCACAATTAATTCGAAGAATGATCAAGAATACGCGCATTTCCAGAACAAAGATCAGCCAACACCCGGAATAACGATCGACCTTCTGCACCCTCCGGAAACGAAGTAATAACGATATTCATTTTATATCTCTATACTGCTAGTTCTGTCGTTTTCATATTTCGCCGACGAATCGTAGCTTACCTAAAGAAACTGCCAGTACGTTTCGCAGATCAATGGCTTTGGAAGTTTTTGTCTCCGTATCCATGTTCGATTTACCGATAAATCAGATAAAATAAATAACCTCGCATATACTCAAAATGGTTCGGACATATGTCTGATAATTTAAATCTGCTACAAGAAAAACTAAATTTGGCTGCGCATTGTGGAAGGACGCGAATAAAAAAAAGAAGAGCTTCGGATAATGGATACGCGTAGACAACTGTACTGCATAGTCGACATAATGGACGCTTATCATTGATGGATCTCCATGTAAAGTGCAGACTCTTGTAAGGCTTGTACAGATCTTAAAAAGTGTAGCCGCCGAGAAACGACAATAAATTTTATGCTGAAAAAAGGAGTACTTTATTGTTTCAAACTTTATAATAGATAATCTTGCAAGACTTCATCATGATGAACAATGAACTGCGAGTAAATTCTACAGCGTTCATTAACACCTGTTTCTATTAAAAATTTTGTCGGCAGATGTAAAATCTTTGGCAGTTACTTTGAAATGCTTTTCATGTAAATGGACAATGCTGATAAAAAAATCTGAACAGAAGTAGGTTATAACAGTCCTGTAATGGAATGAGTAAGTTTGAATTCTTTAGTCGGCAAATGCTTGTCCATTGCAAGGAACTAGGTCATCAATATTGTATAAAAGTGTAAGTGATAGGTAAAACCAGAAGATAAAAATTGACCGAAAAATACTAATAGATTCTTCTGTCAGTGTGTCTTCATGTGATGTTGTGGAAAATGGTGTGGAAACGGCGGCGAAGGAGAACCACTCCGTTGAACCATCGACTGGTTCTGCATCAGTTTTTGAATTTCATAAATGCGTTGTACATTTTCATAATAAATAGTGGTTTATTAGTAAATTCGTAAAGCAATGAAATACTGGTCTCGTAGCAATCAGTATCTCATTCGATATAAGATACTGAAACCAGTATCTTATTCGATGATATATTGATGTATTTTAGCAACGCCAAACAATGCTAATAATAGTCTGAATATAAGCAGGTATAAGAGAAATATAAATATTCTACTATTCCTTTATATATCTAGTTGTGTATATCTACCAACAATCGGTGATGTGATTTTTTTTGTCAGATTGGCATCCTGATGACAAATTAAAATTGGTTACCAATTCAGTAACTGCCATTGTGTTATTGGTTTTTAGTCGCACTCATGTCAAAACTGACAATGGGAACTGATGTGCGAACATT